TCCTATACTAGACCTCAGCTCTGCTCTTCTGGACCAGAGGCATTTTGTGGCACCTCTCTTCCATTCAGCAGGCTGCCTCGAAGCTGGTGCCCTTCTCAGACCACCCTTCCTTGCGAACTACATAGCTACACAACAGGATTGCCCAGTCTTGACTTAGCACTTCCTTATTTAGGCATCCAAAAATACACAGTACATTTATTTTACTGACTGCTGCATAAAATGATGACCTCATGTTCAGTTGTCGATGATGCTTTATACACAGGACAGAGCCTCTGCCGTACCCCTCCTGCAAACATAGGTACTGCAGGCCCCACCTACAGTGTATTCCTGGGCGTATAAACTTCATACTTGGCCGTATTAAAATCTTATCCTAACCAACCACCCAAATGATTCTGCATCAGCAACGTATGTCCTCATTGATTACATTCTCAGTCTGTATCATCTCCAAACTTCATCAGTAACTATCTCCTCCTTGATCCATGACTAAATACAAATAGGACCATGAAGCAAATTACAGCAACATTTTAGGAGAATCGAATCGAACAGAATAGAACAGAATAGAATAGACTATTTCAGTTGGAAGGGAACTACAACGATCATCTAGTCCAACTGCCTGACCAATTCAGGGCTGACCAAAACTTAAGGCATGTTGTTACGGGCATTGCCCAAATGCCTCTTAAACACTGAGACAGGCTGGGAGTCTTGGCCACCGCTCCAGGAAGCCTGTTCCAGTGTTTGACCACCCTCTCGGTAAAGAAATGCTTCCTAATGTCCAGTCTAAACCTCCCCGACGCAGCTTTGAACCATTCCCATGCGTCCTGTCACTGGATACCCGGGAGAAGAGCTCAGCACCTCCCTCTCCACTTTCCCTCCTCAGGAAGCTGTAGAGAGCACCGAGCAAGTCTCTGCTTAACATTTGCCAGTTTGAAACCTGGCAGATAATTTTTGTATAGTTAAATGAGAGGGAAACTAATACAGTATATATTCTAATTCAAGGTGGCAAATAGGACATACTAAAAAATTTAACAGAAAAAAAAGCATTGCCTCCTTTGCTAAACAAATTGTAATCAAAAAAAGGGGGCAAAAAATTGGCACAATCCATTTTCCCTCCACCCACATTGGTTAGTATTATATTACTCTCCCTTAATTTTTAACTGACTGACTTCCAAGTCAGATGTTTTATTGGTTTTTGTACAGTTCCTTTTCGTTTTTAAATGCCTGGGCCATCCAATTCACCTTTCAAATACCAGCACAGAATTTGCTTTTTCAGTCTTGTAGAACTGCAGTGCTCAAAAATTATTAAATATATCAACAGCAACAGTTGATACAGTTTCTTAGACAGCTCTTTTAAAACTCTTGAATGCAAACTGTTCAGACTTGCTGATTTGAAAATCTTTAATTTTAAAGAGCGTGTAGAGCTTGTCTTCAATAGCTGTTAATCAATGTCCTGGAGTTATTATTGGAATGAGAATGTCCATGCTACTAACACCATGAGATAGTAACTATTGAATGGTTTAATTGTCCAACAACCTGGCCAATTTTCTGTGTTATGACATTAAATGACGAGCAAATTGCCTCGACAGCCCAGACTTTATTAGCACTGCTTCCTAATACACTTCAAAAATTCTCTACCTCTTATAGCTGCAGATTTCTCCTTGTATTCTTTTGCAGTGTAATAAAGTAGCTGTTTGTTTCTGTAACCTAGGTCATTTTCACTGACAGCAGACTCTCAGTGAAGCTGATGCTGTTCGGGCATGTGAGTAAGCTGAACCCTGGGAAAAGCACCGACTTTTCAGTGGTGTGCTCCAGCCCTGAATCCTCAGCTCCATGGCGTGCTCAAGCTTCCAGACCAGGAGGCTCAGGAGGAGGATGGAAGCTGAGGAGGAGTGAGGTTATTTTCCAAAAGAAAACACATAGGACAGAATGAGGGGCAGATGCCTAGCTCCCTCCTCCTAAGATTAGTTTTCCTGTGTAGCTGATAGACACCACACTGCATTTTCACTGTGTCCAGGACGGCTTCTCTGACTGAGAAGAAACTGAAAAGCTCTGTGAATTGCTCTCGTGGTGCAGCCCAAAGGGTGAGTAACTTGAAAATGGAGTACTACTACTACTACAGCCACTCTCTTAAGTGTGTGCAAGACTGCTTAGTATATTTTCTGACTTAATCTGGAACCAAAACAATATCCTCGCAATTGCTGTATTCCAGCGCTATTCCTCCCTCCTAACAATTTGTGAAGCACTAACAATTTGTGAAGCAGCAGTCACTTCAGGATTGCTAGCTACTAACATTAGCAAGCAGGATACTTCAGCTGTACAGGGCAGAAACAGAGGCAGTTCACTCACAGCATGGGAGAGCACAAAGCAGGAAGTTACTCTGTCTCAATCCAAGCGGGAAGCAAGAAGATCCGGGATGCCCTGGGCACATCTCAGCCGTCACACGCCTGGTGCGCAACACAAAGACTCTCAGAGCAGAAGAATGGCCAAAGTCTCTAACTTGACTGCAAGAAATCCTTGCATACCTTTACCAAAATGAACTTTTGGATGATCTTTCAGTGCATGGACAAAAAGACAGAAAAAAGGAAATCCAGTTCCTCCAGGCATAGCTACACCTTCAGAAAACAGTGAGCTATATGAAACCACCTCACTAAAACTACATGCGCTGCAATACCATATGTATCAACAAGTGCATAAGAAGAACGAGGGCTCTTTGGAAAAGTTATCTTGTAGTACAGCACAGAAAGTGGAAAATTTTCACAACTATGTGCCAGGCTTTAATTTTGTGTTACAGATGACTGTCAGCTGCAGTAAAGCAAAGATACATGGGTTTGTGGTGATGAAAATTTTACAGCAGCTCTGTATTTTTCAAGTCTCAAACATTTACATTTAAATGTAAATATTCATGATCTCCACAGAGTATATTTTCCATATCAAATCGATTTTGAATATTTTATCATACAAACCACTAAAAAGATTGTGCATGATCTTTCAAAGAATACTTACTCGTTCACAAAAGCGGACAATTTCAACTGCAAGTGTTAGAACATTCAGAAGACGATAAGCATGAAAACCTAAGTGAGCAGATACTGTTCTGCAACTGCTGTCTCTTAAAATGTAGACAGCTTAGCTGGCCATGAAAAATTTCATACGTTTTACAAATCCCAGCTCTTCTTGGAAATCCCTAGTTACTTGTGCCAGGACATTCCTAGTTCAGCTTGAAAGTATTTCAAGATCACTGTGTAAGATGAAAGCATCACAAAAATCATTCTCTTAGGGTTTAACAGCCAGTAAGATGGTTCAACACTGTAGCTATGCACAATCTAAGCACATTAACTGAATTTTCCATCACTTGACAATAAACTAAATTTGAACGGATGCCTTCTGTAACGGAAAAAAAAAAAAAAAATCGTACTTGAAACTAATTGGCTCTTTCATTTTCTCAATTATTCACTCAAGAATTGTGAAAGCAGTTAATTTTGAAAAAAGTCCAAATGTTTAAAAATTAGAAACTGGTTGAAATCTCTTTGACTGAAGCTATGCTAAACATATCAATGGCATCAAAGAGTTAAAATTAAACCCATGACTAATTCCTGATAAATCAAATCTAATGAATAATATCTGCTTAATATATCACATACAGCAGCAGAAAAATTTAGCGTATCAGTGCTAGGGATACCCTGGCAAGAAGAATAGCAAGTAAAAAAAAGTGCATTTATTTCTACTAGATTCAGTTATCAATTAATTAAATATGATAGTGATGACTCTACAGTATCGATGAACAGCCTTAGAGACAGTGAGAGCAGTAGGAATAAAATATTTAGAAATAAGAGCAGAAGAATTTACAGAGGAATAATCTGACTTTTCACTGCTAATCAGTCAAAGCAGGAGACATCTACCTGTAAAGTGAAAAATACATCTTGAAAAAGATGGGACCTCCTCTCCAGGTCCAGCCCAAGGTAAGTGCTGGCTCCCGCCTATGCTGGGGAATGCATGCTGCGGCTGCCGCCCGCTCCCCACGAAATGCACACAGAGATGTGTGGAGGGCTTTCCCTTTCCTGCTCCAAGCTGCAAGTGTTTAAAGGGGAAACCTTTTTCTAAGAGGCAACGAAGGGCGAGCCTCAAAGCACAGATTCATGGAGGGAAGACAGCCATTTGATTCAAGTGTGCTCTGCCGATGTTTCCCCCCTCCCCGCACCCAAGTGTTGCTAAGCTATAATGTTGTGTGATGTTCAAAGCTATCTGTAAGCACACTAACCCTTTGTTCCACAGGGCAGCTGAGTTGTTTCTATTGAGAAAGAACGAACTGATGCTAGATAGCCTTAGTGACTTAAAAAACCATCACTGATACAAACAGTAAATCTCTCTAAAACAGTTTTTATCTGTGACACAGAGAAAGGCAAAAAGCAAAACCTAATCAGGCTGCAGTTCTTGTGTTGGTGTGGACACTCCCATCAACTGCAAATGGAAGCTTTCACCACAAACTTAAAACAGTCAGACCAACAAGTCCTCAGCATCACTTCCAGAGTATCTTCTGTGAAAACATCCTACCACTGCGCACGTGTCTGATAAATGAGGAATATGTATGTGCACGCACTCCATAGACAACACCCCCCTTGTACAGACAGGGACACCTTTCCTTTCAGTGTCATCCTGCTGTATGCATCAGGTACTCTAATTGGTACCAAAAAAAAAAATGTGAAAAGACGCTTTGTGAAAATTAAATTCCTTGAAACATAAGTGAAGCGATCTGTTTAACACCATAAGCACTAAACATGATTTGGTCAGCTGATACTACATATACATCTTAAAGTATTAAAACAAGGTGTCATTTAGAATGGTAGTATGCATTTCTGTGAATAACCCCCCAAACTATGTAAACTTCCTAGACTTAAAGGAAAGAAAGAGACAAACAGTTGTTATACCCTTCTTCCCTTATACAGTTAAATGCAAATTCTCCTTTACAGTCATATTCCTGATATCTCCCTGCATACACAGCTGATACGCCACCTACTGCAAACCCGAGCTGACAGTCGGAGCAATGCTAGCAGCATTTCCATTCCAACATCGTGCCGGAGCTGAATAAAGGTGCTTTTTTAAAAAAAAAAAAAAAAAAAATCCTCTTTGCAAGCTGACAAGAACAGAGCAAGATAGCTGGCTTTTTGTCCTAGCTTCAATAATGGAGAGAAAAATAAACAGAAGAGAGAAGGAATGCGAAGAAAAACACAGCAACTCCGAAGGCTCTGAGCAAGACAAGGACTATAAAACGTCCCTGATTACTCTGAATGTTGGTGGCTATCTATATATCACACAAAAACAGACACTAACCAAGTATCCAGATTCTTTTCTGGAAGGGATCATAAATGGAAAAATAATGTGCCCATTCGATGCAGACGGTCATTATTTCATAGACAGAGATGGACTCCTTTTCAGACACATTCTCAACTTCCTACGAAATGGAGAACTTCTTCTACCAGAAGGGTTTCGAGAAAATCAACTTTTGGCACAAGAAGCAGATTTTTTCCAGCTTAAGGTACTCTCGGATGCAGTGAAATCAAGGTGGGAGAAGGAACAGCTAGCATCTCGAGAGACTACTTTCCTGGAAATAACTGACAGCCACGACCGTTCACAAGGACTTAGAATCTTTTGTAATGCTCCCGATTTCATTGCAAAAATAAAATCCAGAATTGTACTGGTGTCCAAAAGCAGGCTGGATGGATTTCCGGAGGAGTTTTCGGTATCTTCAAATATTATTCAATTCAAGTACTTCATAAAGTCTGAAAACGGTACACGACTGGTACTGAAGGAGGACAACACCTTTGTCTGCACCCTGGAAACTCTTAAGTTTGAGGCTATAATGATGGCTTTAAAATGTGGATTTAGACTGCTGACCAGTCTGGATTGTTCGAAAGGGTCAATTGTTCACAGTGATGCACTTCATTTTATCAAGTAATCACAAGGGCAAAGGAAATAAGCATGCAGCCAGTAAACCTCCTTGACCTGCAGACTCCTGGCATCACAGATAATGTATCTAACTAGCCTTGTACCACAGAGCTCGGCTGCTAATCAATTGATGTAAGCTAATGGTATGTAAATCTCATAATGACATCCATCTCTGGCTTACTTAAGCTGAATGAAAATTTCATGCCTGAGTTTAATAAAAGTTATCTGCTAAACATTGTAAAAACAGATTGAATGCTTTATGGTATTTGTAATATATGTTTTCTCGATGCTGCCTTTCAACCAGAGAGTCTAGCTGAATTTTTGTGTACTTGTATGACTAACATGCATACACCTAACTGCTCTGCTGAATAGCAGTGAGAGTATTTTCATATAATAAGCAGGCTTAAAATATGTTTTGCTTATAAAAAATTCAGAATGGATTTTAACTGGAATAAATTATTTTGAAAGTTCATTAGTGTTTATGCTAGTCTATTGTACTGAATTTGCAAAAAACGAGATTGCAAGAGGGTTTAAAATTAATCAACTTGATTTTAAAGTTAAAAGATTTCTCAACTCACTTAAACCCAAATTTTTTCGTTTATAGCTGTGTTACTACTAACAATTGCCAAAACATGTAAACCAACAAAGCAATGCTGGGGGGATTAGTTCTATTGTGGGAAATGAGTTGAATCTGCACAGAATGTTAAATTTTCTAACTATATATACATATCAAATGGCTAATAAAAATATTTGTCATAAAGTTTCATGTAACAGGTTTCCAGTAATGACATCCTACAATGCTAAAGACACTATCTCCTAGTAATCGTTTGTGCTGGTAAGGAAAGGCAATTAACAGAGCCCTTGCTTTGCACAATGGCTTACTAAAAGCAACTAGTACTATCAGTTTTGAATAGACCACCTGCTGGCATTTAAGATGCATCACTCTAAGTAATAGAATAAATACCTTCTTTCTCCTCATCTCCATTATTTATCAAATCTTTTCATTTATATTTTAAACAAAGTTTTAACAGCTTCTATGGAACAATTGTAACTAATTGAACCACAAGCATTACAAACCAGTCACTCTGCAAAAGCGAACTGAAAAATCATCACAAAACGCAAAAAGCAGCTGCACTAACTCTAAGTTTAAGCTTTGTCCATCATTGAACCCAACCATCATTCACAGTTCAAATGAACCCAAAATTCAAGTAAAATGCTATTAAAGAAAGAAAAAACAGCCAAGTAGTTTCTCAACTTTCCCAAACCATCAATTTTGTATAGAAAAAAAAATACTAAGAATGTCAACAAAATGCAGTACAATCCATACTAGAAGTGACAACCGAGGAGAACAGCTAACACAAGACAGGCTGAGCACAGGGTTTTTTCGGATTTTAGAGGGAACAAATCCATCCTTAGTAGTACCAGGAATGCAAGGTCCACTTATCCTTCAATGTGAAACTCTCTTTCACTTGTAACATACAATAGGTGTTGTTAACTAGGTTCCTCGCCAGAGTTGAATTAAGAGAGGGACTCTACATCTCCAGACCATACAGCAGTGACTGAAACATACTCCAATATGATTTTATCAAATGGGGAAATCCAGCCTCTCCAGAACACTCCATCAGAATGAACCCACTGTCCAGAAACGATGAACTTTCTATCCGGTCCCCATGTTACAGACTTACAGATCATAAAATATGTGGTTCTAAGTGGAATTTTTCCGAACTGAACTGTTTAAAAATCAGATCACTCTACATTTCAGGCATACAAGCTGAAGAACTGTTCATGTATCCCAAAACTTCTCTGAGTTTGTCCAAATGCATTAACTATCTACAAACAAAAGATATATAGTAAAATACAATTCTTTACATACTACTTTTACACTCCTAGGCCATCCCAGCTAGCACTCCATCACTGTGTGTCATCCCCCCCCCCAAGTTATTTTCAAATTGGTATCTTAAAAAAAAAAAAAAAAATCCTCATTAACCACTAATCTTGTACACACAAGAATGTCTAGGACTTCTGTGAAAAGTAAATGTGAAAGCTCCCCTAAAACAAATCCAAAATCCTGCTGATCTTCCAAGACAAGAACTAGAAACACCATCACACAGAACAATTACATGAAAAGCCCTTTGTGGACACAATTCTCTACATGAGCAAGAATTAGTGACAAGATAATCTGAAAAAGCTCCATAACTAATCTACAAGTTTTAAAGCAGCATGCTCTCAGTGCTGTCAAATACACAGCCTGCATAAGCACAAAGTCTGGAGGAGGCTGTTGCTCCTAGGATGTCAAATCATCCATTTTCACTTAAATGCTTTTGGTTATAACCTTCACTTGTAATGGATCTTTGATCGAGATTTAAAATGTCATTGCAGTTGAAAAGAAAAAAGAAAAATAGCAAAAATCAATTTTGGTTTCAAACAATTAATATACTTATATGTTAATTAAAATATACTGCGGTTGCTTGCCTTTCAGTTGGGCTCTTAGGATGCCCAATATCAAGAAAACATTAGCACTTTAGTATCAGAAAGCAGTACCAGTTTTTCATCATACGACTTAACTAATGAAAAAGCAGTAGAGAATTTGATGGTTCTGCATTTATTATAGAAATACTTTTGGAATATAAGCTATTCACAAGCTGGTAATCACAGGTAAAATTCAAACCATCTAAAATATCTTCTAAGAACAGTCTATAGCTATTCTTAAAAGATTTACTGGAAACCTTTTATTTGCCAGGTGTTTGGTTCAGACTACCTACATCCCTCCTAATCTATATAAAAGAAAGAGCACTTGAAACTCCTTTTTTTTTTTTAAGTGAAAAATGTACACCTCTAATAAAAGTAAATATAAAAATAAATTTGTGTTGTGGTTTTTTTTTTTTAATTTGAAACTCAATGATTCATTACGTTAAGCACTTTTCACTGCATTTTTTTTTTTATTTCTTTTTATTTCTGTGTAAATGACACTGATATCTATGGCACACACATGAAGTCATCTGCTGTAACACTAAGTTCAATCTTGTCTTTTCCTATTTTCACGAGCACTGATGCATTTCTACAAGAGTCAGGGTTTGAAATTTTTACGTGCCATCTCTGATCGAAGGCAAGTCACTCAGATGTTTGATTCACATAGCAGAAACAGAAGGAAGATGGGGGTGACAAAATCATTCTCTTCCTGTTCACATTGAACAAATCCACAACTACATTGAATCACACCATTATCAGCTACAATCAAGATGCGTCAAACTAGTTATAAACCTGAATAATTTTTCAAACCAGGGTGGGGGAGTGTCTTGCTTTGGTATATGAACAAAATGACCACATAAAACTTCCATACTGTGCATAATGTTTCCTTTTTACTCCATAAATACATTCAATATAACATAAATACATTTTGCATACATTCAGTCACTCAGGTAGATGCTTGTGTTCCACCACTGTAGGCTGTGCCAGAAAAGGTACTGAGTTATACATCAGTTACCTTTTCTGTCTTTTCTTTAAGGTTAGAAATTGCATATTTAATACTACTATGACAATGAGAAAGCTGCAAAATCAAGTGCTTAAGTCAGAAATACTAACAGTTGTTCTAACAACATTACTTTGAATATGATGTGCCTGCAAAGTATTTCTATTCATCTTTCTCTCGTTAAGAGTTGGATCACAATGAACTTATCGGAACAGTCCCACAAGTATCAAGAAAGAATGGCAATTTTCATAATTTCTCTGATGATCTTCAGTTGCTCAGGTAGGAGTAAAAAGGAACTTCCTAGCCCTTCCCCAAGGAAGCACTTAACCTGCTCCCATGCAGATCAGCTCCTCTTGCCTCCCTGCTCATCTTTTTGGATGAGAAAAGGGCCACCAAGCAGACAATTCAGAAGTGACAGAGGAGCTGAAGGCAGGACTGACCCCCTCAAAATATATCAAAAAAAGAATATCCCTGTCCCTGTGAGTTCCCTGAATGACTGTTCATGAAAGAACAGTGCCAAATTGACCAAGATACCCATTGTATTCCTTCCTCCCACACTTGTACCCCCATCTTTTCCATTGGTGGAGAAGCCAATGGCTCTTCTATCATGCTTGGCAGTACACTGGCATAGTTATCACCTATTTGGTTTTTTCCTACATAAGGGATAAAACGTAAGAGTGGCTGCACTACGTCAGACTAAGGTCTACCTAGCCCAGTGTCCCCTAGTGACTGTGAACTGTTTCCACCCCCTGATCCTTCACATCTCTGGGCAGAATCCCTATTTTTGATCCTTTGACTCTCACATCCTTCCCCTTACCTCGTCTTCCTCCCACATCATACAACTACTTTTCATTTTTTTTTCACCATACCCCTCCCTTTCACCAGGAGGGCTGTGGGGCTTTGTTAATGTTGGGCAGCAGCCTGACTCAAGAGGAGGAATCACTAAAGACAGTGGCCAAAAGCAGATGCCTAGGAATGAATGTTAAGAACCAGAAAAAAACATACACGATGATGCTCCCTTGAAGTACTCCCTCAGTCTCCAGCCACTTACCGCCCAATGACTTCTAGAGCCAGATGTCGTTTCTTGGAGGTAGCCTTGATGCTGTGAAATACCCAGGCTGTGCAACAAGGTCAAATTACAGCTCCAACTCCACACCTTCAATGCCTGCTCACCCAGTAACTAGTGTTTCACAGCATCATAATTGCACTATTGACATTTTCAAACACTCGTGTCTTATTTTTAATTGTGTTTTTGCATTCGTACCTATTACAACTGTGTAAGTGACAATTGGTCACTTCTTTTCTACAGAAGTTAATATTTCTTTAGATCCTAAAGGGGAAAAAAATTACATCATCATTTGCAGCAATCAGTGGCATTGTCATTTTCACCTCTTATTTAAAAGCATTACAAGGTTTCCATTCAATAAGATGGGAACAGCTTAAGAAAATTATCTTCCTCCTTCTCTCCCCATTAGTATAGAGGCACAATAAGGGCAGGCAACAAGTATTACAACTTAATAACGGCAGTGCCTCATCCATTAATTTATTTGCGTGGAAGGGTCATGTTGCCCTAATTCTGTTGACTAATGAATCAGGATTGGGGATGAAGGAGACGAGTTAACTTGGGTCTATAACAAAATAAATATTATTTTCTTAGGCTAGAATTACTTCATCTTTGCTAGATAACTATTGCCTAACCCTAATTTTGTCTCCTGTCCTGCAACACAAGGCAAAAATTCTTAGATTGACAGAAAAGTGACTACTAGTTAAAAAACTAAAAGCATTTTCATTTAGAGTAATAGGCTTGCATAATTTACCAGGTTGAAACAAAAGCAACAATAAGGCACAAGAAATTTAAGATCAGAAAATTAACATTATGGTTTTTAATTATTTTTGAAATAGACATTCTGTAAGTCCTACGTATAGATATACCACACAGAACATTGTCTCAAAACACTGCCTCTATAAATCATCATCATTCACAACAAAATGCCAGAAAACGA